GCATTTTGGTATCATTTGGGGAATTCAAAATTGCAATATTGTAAATCAGGACTTTTCCCCCTCTGATAAAAGTAAACAGTTCTCTGATGTCATGTTTTCTAATGTCAACATGATACCTGGGTAGACTTATAGCTTTGCATTACATAGTTGCATAACAGCCAGACCTACAAAAAGCTAAGGCAGAGAGGGAGTAAAGTCCCTTTATCAAGTAAACGATGTGTACAAGTACGGACAAATTCTCAAGCTCTGTGTTACAGAGATCATCTGAAATGTTCTATGCAATTAGTTAATAGACAAGAATGAATCTGCTTTGGTAAGGTACCTAACTAGGTAAAAATTATCACATGAAGTTTCACTATCTGATGATACAGCTAAAAATAAATTGGGCTACCACTCTTCCTTTACCAGTACATTCATATAACCTGAAGGGGGCACTAAAATCACAAGAAAGAGACAGTATATCAATAAGCAATTTTGTGAATATGGAATATACAGGGCCAGGTTTTCAGCGTTAGGTATGTAAAAAACTTTGAAATTCTGGCCTACAGACTGCAAAACTGCATTAGGACAGAGATTCTAGCTTAGAAAATTATTAATGGCTGACATGCTAGTATTCCCTAAATAATTCAACTAAAGAAACAATCATACTGTACGATTACCCTTATTTTCCTTCCCAGAAACACAGGTAATTGTCAGAGGTGGGCAAACAATTCACAATGAATCATTTATCTGGTAAGTTTAACCTTTTTCAGGTTCCTGATATTTTAATGAATTTGTTCATTATTTGTAACAGCTTGTTGAATCTTTTGTATAAGCAAATTTTGTGATTGCACATACTGTTAAAGTGCTCATGTGAGTATTTGCAATTCACACTTATGATTTGTCATATAAACACATAAGGGCTGTTCGAAAACTATATCAAAACTTTTTTTTGGATAAAAATGGCTTTTTGAGAAAATGGAAATTTTTGTAAGAACTTGTTGGTTTTTGGTTTACTTTAAAGTTTTTTTTCAGAAACGAAAATACTTTGTTTTTTATCAGCTCCAGGCTGACTAATCGCAAGTTTGAACAGAAAATACGTACACAAATATTTTAACTGTAGCGATCACAAAGTTTGTTCATACACATGATTTGACATATTATTTATTAATTATTATTATTATTTTTATGGTATTATTTCTGTTCCTTGGTTACATAACCTTAAACTTTGTGAACTACCTTCACTTCTGCCTGAAACAAATTTTGTTTATTTATTTAATTTTGGCTACAGGCCCAAAATTGGGTTTCCTCAAACAAAACTTCTTTTGGTGTCACAATTGGAGCTAAGAAATCTGAGACAGCCATTGTGTTAATGGGGTTAGAGAATTATCATATTACTCCTTCCTTAGCTCATGTTGTCAATTTTTACCTAGCGCTAATGATTACCTATGTTTATTGGGAATTACTGAAGAAGAATCTTACCATGTGATACTTTACTTAGTTGTTTCTCTTAGGCCACACTAAAATGTTATTAAACAATATTCTCTTTCCTGTTTCTCAGTTGTTTCAGTAACACTTTTCTCCAAACGAAACTGGCTTAATTCATGTACATTTGCGGTAGCAGAAGTTTTAGGAGCAGTGGCTATTCAGCAGTTCTTGGCACATGTGGTCTACGCTGAGAATTTCTTACATGTCTCAGACCGTGTTTCCTGGTTCTTTGTGCACACCCCTCACCCCAGTCTTTCACCAAACTCAACTGTCTGAAAGAAATTGGAGTTTCATGTGAGTTTTGCCTGCTTTAAGAGAGCAGAACTGAACCCTCAGTGAAGGAAAAAACCACAAGCTTTTCATTGGGGATCACATTTGTAAAGGTATTTAGGCACCTAAAGATGCAGATAGGTACCTAGTATAATTCTCAGACGTGCCTACGCACCCGACTTTCCATGAGTGCTGAGGTACCTAACGTCCGCTGCAGCCTAGACACCTCACTTCAACTTCCAATGGGAGTTAGGTGCCTGCGCACTTTCGAAAATCCCACGAGATCTCTGCCTGCATCTTTAAGAGCCTAAATACTTTAAAAAAAAAAAAAAAAAAAAAAGAAAAAGAAACCTGTCTCTGGGTCACCATTTTCTATCTTTAAGACTCAGGTATTTAACTGTCAGGTGTGCTGCCTGTGGAATTTACATGATATAATAGAGCTAGGTTGTGGTCAATTAGTAAACAAAGAAAAACTAGGACCAAATCCTTAGCACCTGTCACTCCCATCAAAGTCAGTTAGAGCTGTGGGTACTCTACATCTTTCAGGATTTGGGCCAGACTTGTATTGCTGGATTTTCCATGTAGTATAAACCCCTATACATATTAATCAGTGGTAGATAGCCATCTTATAAGGTGACATATACAATCTCTGCCATACGCTGTATCATCTCTCAGAGTAGCAGCTGGGTTAGTCTGTATCCACAAAAAGAACAGGAGTACTTGTGGCACCTTAGAGACTAACACATCTATTTGAGCATAAGCTTTCTTGGGCTACAGCCCACTTCATCGGATGCATAGAATGGAACATATAGTAAGAAGATATATACAGAGATATTACAGAGATGGGCACTGTAGAAACGTCGAAGACACATACACTATCCAAACAAATAAGTAATAAACACTCTGTTTGAGTTCTGACCTAATATTATTCTGAATATTTAAAATCTATCCAGAATGCTAACAGCAAATATCTAAATTTTAAACCAGATTTCAGATAGTAGAAAGATTATAAGTAACTAATTGATTCATCTTTATATGCTTATTAACAGTAGTACTGCTCTCTGGATGCCTCTGTGACGTTTAAAACATGATTTTATTAGGACTAGATTGCCATGCAGCACGGGGTAGGCAGGATGTGGTTTATAAATCATTGGGCAGTCAGTTTGAGCAGCATTAATTATTGGTACAAATGTAAATAAACAAAACATTGAGCAAAAAGAAAATCCTTCACACTGCGGTGTCACAAATGGGGCTTCTCATGTGGGTAAGGTCCTATAGGATCAGCCTGATGGCGAGCTTGGAGAGAGCTAAGCAACGTGAAAGACAGTGTAAAGTATATTTTGCGTGTAGTGAATCTCCACTGGTGTAGAGTTTTGTCATTACACCCCACTTCATTTGTCATTGTTTGTGATTTCTTTGCCACTTTGAATGTAATAGGAGGCTACAGAATACACCACTTTGCAAAACACTTATAAGAAGATATCCAAATAAAAGTTTGAGGCACTACAGCCAGCGGAGTCAGCACCACCTCTGGGAGCAATGAGTCCCCATAGTGGCTCTGAGGCTGCTTGCCCAAGCTCAGGGGGTGATTCTAGAAGAATGGGGACCTGGCCAGGGTGCCGCTATCCCCAGCAAAGTTCAGCTTCTGGAATGGTCCCTGTGGACCTTGGGCTTCTGGGGATATGCCCCCAACATCAGGGAAGCACATGAAACTCCTGTTTCTTTCATACATTTGAGTTTGTAAAATTATAAAAGTAAGGCCTTTTAAGTTTTAATGATCACATTCCTTAGGGATGCACAATTCTCTTCTCCAAGCAGGGCATGAAAAACTGAGCTTTGTGCAGAGTTTTTAGCAGGGTTTTGAAGGATGGAATTCACCTCTGATTCTCAGGCAAGTTTTAGAGCTGCAAAGCATCCCCTCCACAGTTGCTACTCCACCTCCTGGCTGGAATACTGACTAGTGCTGTACAAAGCATTAAAGCCAGTGGATCAACATAGTTATGGATCAGAAGGTTCCTCCCACAAACCACCACGATGCACCAACCTCTATGGGGCAAACTGATACCCAGTTATTCCAGTTATATGCAGCTCATGTCCCATATGTTACAATTTTATCCATACACATAAAACCAAATACTGTAATAATTTATACCTGGTGCAATCCCATTGCCACTGCATTCAATGGGGTATAGGTCAGCACAGAATTTGGTCGCCAGGATATATAGGAACATGGCAATTCTCATTCTGGATCAGACCCAATGTCCACCTAGTCCAGTATTCTCTCTCTGACAATAGTCATCACCAGATGCTTCAGAGGAAGGTGCAAGAACCCTGCAGTAAGCAGATGTGCGATATTCTGTTCCCACATCAGGGCTCATCCTGACCTTGTATAGAGATTGGCTTACACACAAGGTTTAATATCCCTTTCAATTTTTTTTTGAAAAATTGTGGAAATTATAGGAATATTCTGGATATTTCTGTTTTCTATGTAAATGTTGAAACACTTTGAATCTTGCCAAGTTCTTGGTCTCAACAACTTCCTGTGGCAATAAATTCTGCAGTTTAATTAAACATTGTGTGAAAAAGTGTTTCCTTTTATTAGTTTTGAATTTGCCACTTTTTATTGCAGAAAGACCGAGTAGTACTTGTGGCACCTAAGAGACTAACAAATTTATTTGAGCATAAGCTTTCGTGGACTAAAGCTTCTGAAACCTGCCACTTTTTATTGGTTTCAGAGTAACAGCCGTGTTAGTCTGTATTCGCAAAAAGAAAAGGAGGACTTGTGGCACCTTAGAGACTAACCAATTTATTTGAGCATAAGCTTTCGTGAGCTACAGCTCACTTTATTGTAACTGAATGCCGCTCTGCCCCCGCCCCATTGTGTCATGAGACAAGGTGAGCAGAAGCTTTTGATCTACTTCTCTATGACAATTCTATAATGCTGTTTTGTTGATTACATTCCTTAATATGAAATTCGCAATATAGATAAAGTTACTCTAATTTTGATGTATTATTGTAAGACATTAATGCCCACAAGATTCAGTTCTTGGAGGAAAAATGTTGTGCAGTTGCATGTGGAAAGAGAATAAGGGACTCCTTTGCTGGTGAGCCACAACAAATATGGAGTTTTGTTTTGCCTAGTCAGTGCGTGACATATTAATTGTTTTGTTTTGCCTAGTCAATGCGTGACATATTAATAGACAGCATACAAAACAATTAGACATTTTGTGTGTGTGTTTTGGAAAGAAAAATAAGTGCCTTGCCTGCACAGCCCAGAGGTAGTCCAGACGTAACTTCAAGTCCACCTGCCTGGAATGAAGCGCCAAAGCACAAGAAAACAGCAAAATGGCTAATATCGGTTCATAGCCACGCATATAAAAGGAGCCACCCCTTTAAAAAAAAAAAAGAAAGAAAGCATAAGTTAATAGACCTTTTAAAGGAAAAACCTTGATCTAAATTCTCAAAAGTGACGAGTGATTTGGGGTGCCACACTTGAAACACACTGAAAGGGTATGATTGTCAAAGTGCTGAGTGTTTATCTTCTGAAAATCAGTATCCTTTAAATTTAGGCACATAGAAATGGAGGCACCCAAAGCCACTAGCCCCTTCTCAAAATGCAGGCTCTCTCATGCAGATACTGTCAGTGCACAGGCTGACACTGCTGTAAGTATGATCCCTGCACCATGCCCCAAAACAAAGTGTGCCCAATTTCTTCAGGGTCTTACCGAACAAGAGCATAAATGTAGATAACATGCATCATATAGTAATATGCACCATGTACATGTGTGTAGCTTTGTTTAACATTATTTTAGCATTTCAGTTACACATAAGGGCTTCATTCACTGCTCTGTTAACACCATTTTTAAACCAGTGAGCGTGACTCCAATGAAATAAACTCTGTTACACCAATGTAAAACTGGAGTAACACAATGCGGAATCAGGCCATAGCTGTTAGTTCACAAAAGCAAATGTCCCACTCATGAATATTACCACAATAGCCAGATCCTGCAAGGTACTGGGAATTGAGCATCTTTTAGGAGATGCTGAGAGCCCTCAGTATCTGGTCCGAATACAGCACTACAGTGTTTTAGGACAACAGTAGTAAAACGGAGTTGGCAATGTTTTGGACTATCCATAATGCTACTACTTTCCTTAACTTTACAGTGTACTTACCCTACTGCTTTTCTGTATCCGCTGAGTTCCAGAACAACTATGTACAAAATAGTAACAAAAAGCAGGAGGATCATTTTTGGCAAGGAAGAGACACGTAGAAATATTGCCAAGGTAAGAGTCCCCACAACGCAGGAAAGGAAAGCATAATGGGCTGTATCACATGGAAGTTCATTCATTGTTTTATTCATTCCACCGGGAGAAATGATAACAATGGAACTGCTGGAATTTGTACTCCATACCCAAGGCATGCAGCCAACCTGGGGAAAACAGCAGGGTTTAAAATGAAACACTTTCATCAGAAGTTCAGTAGCTCTTGGGCCTGGTTACAGCCCTCCTTCCTCAATCAGATTCTCAAGCCAGAAACAAACCTCATATTTCCCAACTCCTAGCCTTACCTCTTAACAACAAGACTATTCTTCCTCTCCTAGCACCTTTCCACCTCTACTTGAGGCAGGAATCACGCTCCCAGTCCACTAGATGGCAGCGAACGTGGAAAATTAGAGTTTGAACATAGTTTAAAAAAACCCTCTCCCTTTTCAGTGCTCAAGCAACAAAAGGACACAAGAAAATATCTATTTATTAAGATTTTAAAGTATTTTAAAATATAAAGTGGCGATCTTTGCTAGAATAGTTCTCACACACATCAGAAGAAGAAGCATGTTGATTATACACACACTTACTAAACTCTAACAATTAAAAAAAAAATCAAGTCACAGACGTAAAAGGATATTTAAATCTCTGATGGAAGAGAAGAGGTATATAATTATTCTCTTTCATCTAGAGAGCTAAACATGAATTATGTCAATAGCCATAACAGATTCAAATAAGACAGATATGGATAAGCAGGAAATGCAGCGATCCACAGATAATTAAGGACAGGGATCCTATATCCCTTTTTTCTCTAGTCTAACCACCATTAGTTTGGCACTCATCCTCCAGCTGGGAGGAAGGTTGATCAAATTCTTCCAAAGCTGATGTCAGTGACACATCCCAGTTCCAACAGCCTGGAAAGTGAGGAATCCCAAGTACATGATCTAGTCCCAATCACATTTTTGTGATTATAATCACACATCAGCTTTTATCTTACACCATTGGAGAGGACTGGAGTTAACATTAAATGGGAGAGTGTGGTGGTAATGTGGGTTCAGGAGGACATCAGTGTTACTAGGCACCTACAGAAAGCTCTACCTGTACTCTCCTTCTATTCTGAAACCTATTATAGTCTTCTAAAAAAATATTAACCACCGATAATGAAATTTTATAGTGTGCCATAAAATCAGTGACTGTCTGAAAGGTGACGGAGCAGTACATTTTATAGGCAGTTACAATCATTTCAGAAGATGAGACTATGAGATAAATACTTCATAGCTAATATTGTGATACAAAATCAGAAAGAGGGAAACAAAAAATTAATTGAACACAATTTTGTTCAACAGCTTAATTAAAAATGTCACCTGCACTACAAAGCAACCAACATTTTGAAACTTAGGAACGTACAAGAGCTTTGTAAATGATACGCAACTCATCCAGGGAAACACCATCTGCTCTGTAACTACCTAGGGTGAAACCTCAGCATCTATCTGATCGTGAACAATTCTAGAGGGTGTTTTGCAGGAACTTATTCTACTGACTAAACAGGACCCCATAACATTTGAAAGGTTACAAGTTATTGCTACACTAAAGTATAAAGCTACAGATGTGAGATGCAGCATGGTGTAGTGAAAGAAACAGAGGATTGGGAACATCAGGAACTCTTGAGTTTTAGCCCCCACTCTTCTATTTACTTTCTTTGTGGCCCTGGACATCATAATTTCTGTATCTCACTTTCCTCATGTGCAAAACAGGGGTAATATTTATTTTGCAGGGGACGGAGAAGTGAGCCTTTTATTAAATACATTGAAGATTTAAGGTGGTGAGTAACAGCTGCTTCAGAAATGCTTACAGATACATACAAACACAAGTAGATATTCTTATATCAGGATGGGATTAAATTCCTGGCGGCACTTCTTGGAAAAAGCACTGTAATTTCTGCGAGAAAGTCTGTGTCACTTGCAATTGTTATTCTACTTTAGGGAGCAGCCAAATAGCAGGATGTGAAAGTAGTGATTTAGGTAATTCAAATACCTAATTTTCCTGCAGATATCTAAATACCTCTTGGGGAGGGAGGATGCCTGTGAGGAGTCGAATCTTTTTTTTAAGCCATAAAAGGTATCCATAATACTTGGCACTATACGTCTTTAAATGCTTTATAAAGAGTAGGTAATCAACCCTCACAACACTTCTGTGAAGTGGACAGGTAGATATTACTATGTCAATTTCAGAGGTTAGGAAACTGAGCCACAGAGAAGTCATGTGACTTGTCCAAGGTCAGACTTCATTTCAATGGAGGAGCCAGGAACAGAATTTACAAATACAGAGCTTCTAGCCTCTGCTGCACCACTCTGCTTCTCTAGCTTGGCTTTTAGTTCCAGATGCCATATTGTGACACACCACATTTAACTGACAGCATCAACCATCTTGTAATATATTCGAAGCCTAATTATGTTAATGGCAAGACTCTCTTTGGCTTCAGTGAGATCTGGATCAGGCCCAGTGTTATTTCTCTTGTTTTTTATATATATTTGTGTCCACATTTTCAAACCTGGGATCCTAAATCCCCATTTGAGCACTTAATAAAAGTGGCCTGATTTTCAGAAGTGCTGAACACCTATAACTCTATACCAGAGCAATTACACAGGCCTAAGAGATAGATGGAGTTTATGACTAAGATATTTATATACCTCCTTTCATTACATAATACTGTCGTGATTTCAAGATCTGATCTCTCATGATCTATCAGGTATAGAAATAAACGTGTTATTCCATTTGAAAGTGTGGATTCCCTGACAAGTCACAAGAAAGATATCAGATGTTCATTTGGTCCCTGGTCCAATACTGAACATTTCAACCATAATTCTTCTGTAAAGTATGTGACATATGCAGAACATATAATGGTGTGGTTTGATATGAAGATTTATTGTGGCACTAATTTGGAATAAACTGTATAGCTTACTAGTGGCTTCCACTACTCATAACGAAGATAGCCTTTAAATTACACCACATTGCTATATATACTTTATTAATATAATTACATATTTTGTGCATGAGAGGGAAAGAAAATGGGATGAAGTGGGGGACTAAATGCGATCTATAACAGATTGTTCTTAAACTTAATGTTAAACTTTATATACTTGGCTTATAGTTGTATACTCACCACGCACCCTTGAGCCACAGAGTAAATTAAGATCACAATAAAAATACACAAAATGGTTCGAATTTGTATTGTCAGGCACCCTGGAAAACACTGAAGGAGAAAAAAAGATTGTAAAATAAGGATATTTTAAATCCAAATAATGTAAAAAAATGGTATGTTATTGTTTACAAGGATAGGATGTCAAATAAAATAGGGAATAGGTATGTGAGTTCTACCTGTGTTGTAAATTACAAAATGATAATCACAAAATAAGAAATGTGGACGAATATTTTAAGGACAGTCGTATTTTCTGTAACAAAAAGGAAACAGATTTGTAAGTTATTTCTCCCTATAATTAAAATTGGCTTTCATTTTATTTTTAATAGGATTTCTGTTCACAATAAATACAACAAATCAGAATGCTCAAATTAGCATTCTATTCTGTACATGTGAAGAAATGAAAACAAACAAACATTATAATTGTATGGTTTGGAAACTATCAGTTGCAGACAGCAACCCAAGAGTCCAGACCATACATACTGCACAGAATTTTGTAGTGATATTTCAGTAACAGTGAATGCCAGTTGAGTTTTAATTAGTAGAGCCCATATTTAAAAAAGTAATCTGATTTGTCAGACTAGGAAAAGCAGTATGGAGCAAAGATGGTTAATGAAGGCAGAGTCTTGAGTATTCCTCTCTCATCATTCATGTTCATCTGAGTATCTGAGCACTAGCCCTCAATATAAATGAAGTTCTGGGGCAGAAGGTGGGAAAGAGAGGATAACAGTTTGCCTGGAATGTGAACTCATGCTGGGTTAAGTTATACTGATTTACTTTGGTCCCATGGGGAGCTGCTTGCTTCCTTATCCCCTTGGCTTGCAAATGAGTGGAACATTTACTATAGCTAGGGGCTTGCTCCTGCACCATTCAAGTCAACATTTTCCCACCTAATAACTTGAATGGGAGCAGGACCAAGACCTAGAAGACAAAAGGGTTTCAGTGGGGGAAAATCAGTGTGCTTCTAAGAGAAGGAAAGTGCTTAGCCCCATCTGGGCTTGATTTGGCTTAGGCCAGTGACGATGAGGGAGAACCAATTTTTGTATGCCTGTTAGTAAACGTATGTAAGCCATGCTTGCTTGGTGTGGCACTCTGTCCGCCTCTAGTGGTGGCTAGGCCATCTAAGATTAATGAGCCTGCTACAGCTTTGGCTAAGAGAAGTGCATCTTTTGGCTCAGACAATAGAGGGCCATCTATTAAAGATTCAGATGTCCCATGTTTGATCCGAGCTGCTGATGATTCACGCACAGGTTACAAGTACTGGCCTGTGCTGGGAATTGAATTGGGTAGATTCTGAAACTGGGGATTCTTCCCCCTCTAATGGTGACTAGGCCAACTGGAGATTAATGAGTCTTCCCAATTCAACAGGCTTCCACATGGTAGCCTCCTAACTGCATGAGGAACAGAGAAAATACCATATACACCTCACTGCAGAGTACTACAAAGGGGCTTCTGTAGGAACAGGTATCATGCACTGGAGCTCCTGCTCTCCCTTTCACATGTTGAGACATGGACTCACTGGGTTTATGTCACCCCTATGCATGGCAGTGACAGAATGTATGGCCGGTGATTGCAGGTGATCTGTACTCATTTGTATTGCAAAAAACAGGAATACCAATTCTGTGGCTAATTAATTACACCAATAGAGCAAAACAAATCTCAGTGTGTATTATGTGATCTTGAAATACACCCTGGCTTCGATGTGGACCAAGGGATAAAACCCACATGGATGTAACAAGAGAAACCATTATTTGTAATATCAATAGTAGATTGCTATAAACAACATGTTTAAAACAGAATGGGATAAACTGATCCCTAGTGAGTGCAATAAAGTTACGCCAGGAATCAATTTGATTATCTGTCAATATCATTAAAATACGATGGAACATCTGGGATATAACACAGTATAACACAGTATCTTCACACATTGTCCACTATGAGAACCAAGTCTTGAAAATCTACTGTGTCACGATAAGGGGAAAGGGTCAGCATTGTGAAAATACTACAAAGTGCAGCAGGGGACAGAATTCATAGCTGGGAACAAAGTCCAATATGGTGACATGATTACACAGGTGATATGATTCTGTACCTAACACAACAAAGGATAACTATAATCCCATCGTATCACAGGAAACATTTTTTCATTGTATAGTGAATGATGCAGTTTGCAGTGGAAGTAATTCAAGGATAATTTCCTTGTTCTTCACAAAAGCAATAACAGCAATAATGAAATGCAGAATATTCTGTTAGTACAGTGATAACGCTGCATAATTAAAATGACAAACAAGTAACAAAAGGTTCCAACCGCAATCTTGCCACATTGTATGTCTTGTACATTTTATGGTTTACATATGGTATGAAGCATAATTAAATAAGCAACAAATTTAACTAGAAAAACCAAGTCTAAGTAATGCATGTAAGACATGGTCAAGTTAAAAGTTGCACTTAAACTTTTACATTTCTTGCCTTTTTCTTATGATTTTAATATTGCAACCACTATATTAACATAGGTTTTTGCATGTCATTGCCTTTATTGACATTTACTTTCAGGACCACTGTCTAGTAATTAATTAATTAATCATTCCCAGATTCCCTAACAAGGTTGGTAAATAACTGTATTATTATTTTTTCCATTTTATATGTGAGAAACTGAGGCACAGTGAAGTTGAGTGACTTGTCCAATGTCATACAGCAAGAGAGTGTGCCAGAGCCTGGATTAGAATACAGGAGTTCCTGGCTCCCAGTCCCACACTCCACAAACAAGGCTAAGCTGCTTCTCTAGACAATTGCTGATGTTATATACGGAATTGTCTATTTCTCTGTTTTCAGATATAGGGTTCAATCCAGTGAAGTGATAAACACCCTTATGGGGCTGTCATTGACTTTAACAACAGCAGGAGCATACCTTAAGTTTACATTAGCCTCAAAATTAGCCTTAATAATGGGAACGATTTCCTACAAACTGCATAAGTATGAACTACTGTGCCTTTTCAAAACAAAAGAGACTAACAAAATTACTCCCAAATTATTGTATATGTTTGTAGATTTATTTTTTACCAGATACTCTGCTAATTAAACTATTTATGTTTCCAAGAAAACAATTCCTCTCCTCTAACCAAAGGGCATTTTTCTTAATTTAAAACAATTGTGTACTAATCAGCAGAGCTGATTAATTGTGTGGATATTTTCTCCTGCTCTTTATCTGAGAACACCAAATGAAGACTAATCCACTGAGGACTTCTTTCACCACAAAAATTAGTCTCTGCAGATCCCTACTCTGATTTTCTCCTTCGACAGTGTGCAGAATGTCCTTCTGCTTTATTACCATTTTGAAAATCTGCTCAAAAACATGTCTAGCAGAGGGAAAGAAATATCTTTAAAGTTAGCCAGCCCCAGATTTGTTGGTTCTGTTTGGAGTTTCTAATGCATTGCTTTGCTACAAATTAGGCAGGTTAGAAAATTACACAGATTACATCATGATATGAAGTGCACATAGGTGTTACCAGGTTCCAAATAACTACCACCAAATAAAACTCCTGAAGGAAGAGGTATCACGAAGACTCAAATCACTTACTTGTACTCGTGTGACATGTAGATACATAATACAAGCCACTAGGAAGCATATGCAGAACACCAGGAGGACAAGGACTAGGGTACTCCTAGAAGAAAAAAATATAGAAGTAAAGCAATGCAACTAAACAGTATATCTGAGCTAGCTGGATTGGTGTTTTCCTAAGGCCATTTGGCGGATCAGAGCAATGCATGTGGGATTTTTTCCCCCAATGTAAAACTGACAGACACAGAGGGAGTTTTCACTTTTTTTTTAAACCTTCTTCCTATTGTGCTGCCTGAAATTCTTTAGTGAAATTCTCAAGAATGACAATTCAGTAACTTTTTAAATATAGTATCTATCAGGAACCTAGTAAGGGGATCACACAATCTCAGAGCCTCAGCTGTATTATGTCTCAGGGGTTTATATTATTTTTAATTGCAGGTTAATACAGGATATCCTGCACTACGTCCCTTATAAATAGTTTCTCCCAATTACTTAGCCTTCAGCGCTTGGCTAGGGGTCGGCAACATGTGCGTAACTGTCCAAGGTAAACATTTTGAGGTCCGTGGGGGCGGCTCCTCACAAGCGGCTCCCCGTCCCTGCAGTTGCTGGCAGAGGCGCAGCCATGCAGCTCTGCGTGCTGCCTCCGTCCTCCCTCCTTCCCCGGCTGCTGACTCCGCGGCTCCCAGCCCATTGGCCAGAAACTCTGGCCAATGGGAGCTATGGGGGGAGGGCACCTGCAGACGGCGGCAGCGTGCCTGCAGAGCTCCCTGGCTGTGCCTCCACCAGCAACAGCAGGGACGGGGAGCCACTTGCGGGGAGCTGCACGAGGTGAGCCTCCCCGCAAGTGGCTCCTCATCCATTTTGTTGCTGTCGGAGGCACAGCCATGCGGCTCTGCACGCTGCCTCTGTCACCCCTCCCCAAGCGCTGACTCCGCGGCTCCCCACCCATTGGCTGGGAACCACAGCCAATGGGAGCTGTGGGGGCGGCGCCTGTGGACGGGGCAGCACGCAGGAGCCGCAGTGTGGGACATGCTGCTGCTTCCAGGAGCTGCTAAAGGTAAGCGCTGCACGAAGCCTGCACCACCCCATGCTCCACAACCCTGCCCTGATCCCCCTCCCACCCTCCAAACCCCTTAGGCCCAGCCCAGAGCACCCTCCTATACCCCAAATCCCTCATCCCCAGCCCTACACCAGAGCCTGCAACCCCAACCCCCTGCCTCACCCCGGAGCCCCCCCCCGAACCCTGAACCCATTTCTGGCCCTATCCCAGAACCTGTATCCCCAGCCCAGAGCCCGTACTCCCTCCCACATCCCTACCCCCTGCCTTACCCCAGAGCCCCCTCCTGCCCCCTTGCCAATGTCCGTCACTAAGTCCAATAATTTTGTCAAGTGTCCATCGTGCAACATGGTGGTGTTGACCCCTGGGCTTGGCTGATATATAATGGTTATCACAGTTCCTCTCTCTTTAATTCTTTGTGAGAGAAAGAAGAGTTATAAAGATTAGAGGTTTGTCCACTCGATCACTTATTGAATCAGATCTTAGCTGCTCCATTTCAGCTACTCCATGCAAAGCAACCAGAAACTTAACAGATCTCAACCCTGAGAATTCCCCATGCATAGGGGAAAAATTGGGTACTGCACAGTTACTACAGTAACTCCTGTATCAAATTCCCTCTCAGACCCCAAAGCAGGATATGAGGCTAGGAGAAAGGGGATATGGCCAGGCATTCCTACACCCTGAGGATCCTTGTCTGCTGGACTAGTCGCTTGGGTATGTGGCTAGCCAGCCATAAATTACAGCATACATGCAGGTGTGCTAATTTATACATGGGCCAGGCTGGCCCTCAGTAAGCTCCAGGATTGAGGGAGCATATAAGTGGCTTAACCTTTTTATAGGCCATTGTGTCTATGTCTGTGCTCTTTACTGACACCACCAAAAGTGCTTGCTCTTATAGGGTTTTAAAATCCAATAGTGGAAGAAAAGAGTGACTGCTTTACAGTGGAATTTTTCCAAGTCACTATATGATCCCAATAAATATCCCTGATTTAAAATTTAGAGAAGTCTTGCAGTACTACTGAGACTTTTTTTAAAACTGTGTGAGACTCTAGCTGGGGGTATCTTCTTTAGGACAGGAATTACTGTTTGCTATGTGATTGTACAGAGCCCTGGACAATGGGGCCGTTGTGACAGATATTGCCTTTTCCTGCAACTTATCTTTGGGGGCCAGAGATCGTAAGTATTTCCATGGACGGGGGAAACCACCGCTCTCCAGAAACTAAGAAGTGGGCAGGGAGGGGATTAGACAAATTTACTCAAGCTGTAACAGCTTCCAAGAGGTACCACCACCAGGCGAGGCTCACATTCACTGGATTTTCTAGAGACCTACACAGGAAGAAAGGACTTTTGGATAAATAGCCCAAGTTTACACTGACTCAGGACCTGCTTTCTGATTCAACAAATGGACAGAACCTTCTGTCCAAGGGAGGCCCCAAATCATTGCTGAGAAGTGTTGGAAGGACTTGACATATTCATGGGGTATTCTTGTTCTGAGGAAAACATGTTCTAAACTTGTAACCACAGAAAAAAACAGTGGGGGGGGGAGTTTAAAAGAACTGTTCACCTGCGAGAGCCCATGCTGGAGTTGGGATGATCTCTGGTAACCTTATTAGCATGCATGTATGTTCTTTTATTACTTGTAATATGTTTTCTCTGTAATGCTTTTACCCTAAGAATAAATGTGCTTGTTTAGAAAGAGCTGTGTGGTAACTGAACTATGGGTAATTATGCTGGTTAGAGCCTCGGAGGAGAAGGCAAAACAGGCCTGCTGAAGCATTCTGACCTGCTCGGGAATTCACAGCGTAGGCAGGGAACTGTGCAACCTGGAAACACTCCAGTCAGGAGGAACAGAGAGACACACATCTTCATCCAAAACAGATGATGGCTGATGAGCCAGGAGCCTAACAGTAGGTGCCCTTGCTGGACCACAGAAGGAGAACACAGCTACAGTTGCCCTGAATTGTGACATCCATGACCTGGCTGGCCTGTAGGTGCTACCACAATATAAATATTAATAATACTAGTAGAATGCAGGTGCTATCATGCTTTTAAGGCGCTGACTTGTGTATGATACAGCCTCATACCACCTTAGCTGGGAGGGGCGCATCTGCTGCATCACCCCAGAAGGGGGTGAAGCATACAGTCTCCTCCATAGTTGGCTAGCATAGGAAGACAGGATCATGGCCTAACCTTCCCCCACCACTTGGTCTTTGCAGTCCTTTAGATCAGTTGATCACAAGGACTGTGAAAGTGACAGAGCCTTGTGATGGTCTGTATCCTTATGTTTACATTTTCCATAAGACTATGATAAATTTGGTATGAAGTATGCCTTGTGAGGTATCATTTGAAAACTCATAATCTGCTGAACATTACTGTCCTGGTAAAATGTGTATGGCAACACAGTATGTAAAGTTATTCAATTCTACTGTATAAGACATGTTCAAAGTTTAGAAAAACTTTGACAAAACAATTCCTTAGGGACAAAAGGCAAACTAACACCTCCGCTGGGTGTTAACCAAAATCAAATGGACTAACACCAGGTTAAGCGGCCATTCTTTGGCAGGAAAAAGGGTGTGAGTGATAAATGTACGTGTTGGCAAAGGAACAGCTGGAAGTTCCTGTCCCACACACTTGCTGTTGGCTGAAGCCCAGCTGAAGATGATTCTCAAAGAAGAGAAATGCTACAAGAAAGGAGAACAAACTCCTCAGATTACCTCTGTCCCTTCATCTCTACTCAAGGCATCGGCAATGCTTGAAAGAAAACAGAAGCATCACTAGACTGGGGAGTGATCCTGGCTGAAAGATTCAGCCAGTAAAACTGCTAGACCATGTGGTGACAAAGATCTGTTGCTTTGAATTCACTCTTACCTTTGTGTTGTGTTTTATCGATATTTTCTTGTAACCAAATTCTGACCTTTATGCCTCATTACTTGTAATCACATAAAATCGATCGTTTGTGGTTAATAAACTTGTTTATTATTTTTAACTAAGCCAGTGTGTGGTTTGGATTGAAGTGTTGGGGAAACTCCATTTGAGATAACAAGATTTGTGCATATTAATTTCTATTAATGAAATGACAGACTTTATATGAGCTTGTACTGTGCTGGGCAGTACAAGACACACATTTCTGGGGGAAAGTCAGGGATTGGGAATTTGCTGGTGTCACTCTGCTGTATATTTCAAGGGTGGCAGGCTGGCTGATTGAAGCATTCTTGAAGTAAAACTGGGGGTAAATTTATATGCTGGAGGCTGTGCGAGAGCAGAGAACTGAGGGGGCTCATCTGCCCAACAGTTCAGATTGTACCCTGAGGAATGTCACAAACCTTTATAGACAGCACAGTGAGCAAAGGCTCCTTCCCCTTTATGTGCTTATGCAATGACTGACCAGAGTCTGGCTTTTAACACTGAGAAATAATGTGAAGGATTTGGTTGTTGTGATTGCATGTTCCCTCTGGGAATATTTCTCCCGTTAGAGTCGTCAAGCTTTTTGTTGCTTTGCTATATTTTCGCTCCTGTTGCAATAACATGACCTACATCCTTCCTGCCTGTCTTGTCTCTATTGACCAGAATCTCTTTCATCATCATATGCGGCTTTCGGCAATTTAAATAGTATTTCCAAGTCAAAAGTGTTGTGGGCAAGGGAGATCAGGACTTTCCTAGCAAGAATTCACTTTTTCCAAGTTTTGGAATGTGTGGGCTGTGATTTTGTCACAACCTTCAAAGGAACTGCCCAAGTCAGTACTCTGAAGAAACACTGTTCAAGAACCTGTCCAGTGGATCCTGCAGAGAGTGGTACTAGTTATCTGGGAAGTGCAACTTTCCTGTCTAAATCAGTAATTAACCAGTGCAACAGCATGGTGTTCAGTAGTGCTGCTCAGCTGGTGGTCTGTCAGATTAGATGTTAACCTGATGGCCTGACCAGATGGTCACTAAATAACTACGCCCCTTTTTACAAGACTCAATTTCCTCTCATCATATTTTTTTGTCCCCTTAAGTTCATTCTCAAGTTTCAACTGTATCTGCTATACTTTGCCACTTCCTGTCCTGAACTTCTATATGCTGCTGCTGGGCTTTACCTTGAAGGTAAGTGAAGCAATTCCTAACTATGTTTTGCCTACTTCAGGAGGCCCTTTGGGGGTTAATTCCCTGAGTTTTGTAATTGGCTTTGAAATCTGCAGATGAAAAATGCCATAATCCTTTAAAGTATTATTATTATTTCAACAACAAACACATGGCTCAAACTTTCATATTACAGAACCTTCTTAAACTACAATTTAGTTTAAACGACCAGGAAAATTTAGTAGGGAATCACTGAATGAAGAGTTAAGGGTGGGTGTCATAAGGCTGGATTTCTCCCCAGTTTAATGGCTCACTCACACCCACAGTCTCTTTCAGGCAAGATTTTATTGTCCAAACTTAACAACCAGCCAAAGGCACCGTTTCTCACCTCACCCTTCACATGTCAGGCTCTCATTGCTTGGTATCCCAGGGGACTCTGGCAGTCTTGCCACGCCTGCAGCGCGCGCGCGCTCGCTCTTGCTCTCTCTCTCTCTCTCTCAGTTCTGTTCTCACAACCAGCCCTGCACCATTTAGAACCTCAGATGTAGCCCTGCCCCCTTAATTGGCCCAACTGGGAACACCTGCTCTTGCACAGGCGAGCTGGACCTATTTCAATTGCAGGGGCCAGCCGCTCCGTGACAGTGGGATTTTTAGCCATGGCCTACCTCTATCCACATCAAAGTCCTAATGACTTGGATGGGAACAGAGTTAGCCTAATATTGAGTGCTTCTGAAGATCCCACCCTAAAAAGGATATTGTCAGCAAATTAAAAAAAACAAAACAAAACTCTAAAAAATAATTCCCCCCACTTGCTGACTATAATAAACCCTTGGAAACTTGACACTGATGTCTGCTTTTTTACCAGTTAGAACCAATTCACGTGACTCAGTACTAATTACTGAATTATATGAATTAGCCAATAAGCAAACGTACAAACAAAAGAAAACGATACTGCATCACAAAATATTCCTGGCTCTGTTATCTCAAGTGTAGCTTAGTTTTAAATACTTATGATAAGACTTCATAGAAAACTAGTAAATATTCTAAAAGTTAAAAGTATTAGTAATATGATACCTTACTCCAGTGCTGCTCCGCTAGTAAACCTTTGCTGAGAATTGGGAAGAGATCAACATTTTATGTGTGAGAGTTATTAGCTGTAGGGCTAAGCAATGTCCCATTTAGCAAGTTTCTACTGTATTCTTCTTCCGCATGCATATTTTACTTGTTTGTTATTAAAGGGGTGGAGCATCAGAGATAGGATGCTGGCAATGTGAAAAAAACCCCAAAGATGAGCACTGAAGCATTTGTTTTGAAACAAGCCAGCTACAAATAATTATACGGTGATTTTGTAGACAGGCGGAAGGGACAAGGCTGGAATTCAGATACACTGTTTTACCACTGGATTCAAAGTTTACCAACCTTGTCTGTATACTTTCAAAATATCCTTTCAAATGCCTTCTGTTGTTTGGGGTCTCATTTTCCCTGCTTAGTTACAGGATCTAGTAAACTGATGCTAATAATATGTGCTTCAGTTCTTGCTCCAGAGCAGCTAATGTTGGAATCTGTGTACAAGATCCTTGAAAATAATGTGCTTTGAATTTAAATAGCAAGAGATACTTACTGTGGGATTATTAGAAGGTAGACAAGGCCAAATAAGGCAGCTAGAATTAGTGAAAGAACTACAGCACTGGTGAAGTATTCATCCTGAAGCTGGTGGTACTGTGAATGAGAGGAGATGCACAAAGACAGTTAGTTAGGCATCTATACCATACCTTCTGACTCTAAACTAGGAACAACCATGGTTTAAAAGAGAGTGTGTGCCTATATCTCCACATATTTACAAACGTAGGAATGAACATGTTTTAATTCACACCCAGAAAAGATCTTTAAATGTGAAATTGCAGAACTAACTGTAGACTGTAATCTATCATTTAAATCAGCTTCTGTACCAGATGACTGGAGGATAGCTAATGTGATGACAGTTTTTAAAAAGGGCTCCAGAGATGATCCCAGCAATTACAGGCCTGTAAGCTTGACTTCAGTACCAGGCAAACTGGTTGAAACTATAGTAAAGAACAATATTGTCAGACACCTAGTTGAACATAATTTGTTGAGGAAGAGTCAACACGGTTTTAGTAAAGGGAAATCATGCCTCACCAATCTACAAGAATTCTTTGAGGGTGTCAACAAGCATGTGGACCAAGGGGATCCACTGGAAATAGTGTACGTAGATTTTCAGAAAGCCTTTGACAAGGTCCCCCACCAAAGGCTTTTATGCAAAGTAAGCTGCCATAGGATAAGAGGGAAAGTCCTTTCATCGATTGGTAACTGGTTAAAAGATAGGTTAGGTATAAATGGTCAGTTTTCAGAATGGAGAGAGGTAAATAGTGGTGTCCCCAAAGGTCCGTTCTGGGACCAGTCCTATTCATAAATGATCTGGAAAAAGGGGTAAACAGTGAGGTGGCTAAATTTGCAGATAACACAAAATTACTAAAGATAGTTAAGACCCAGGCAGACTGTGAAGAGCTAAAAAAGGATCTCTCAAACTGGGTGACTGGGCAACAAAATTGCAGATGAAATTTAATGTTGATAAATGAAGAGTAATGTACATTGGAAAGCATAATCCCAACTATACATATAAAATGATGGGGTCTAATTTAGTTGTTACCACTCAAGAAAGAGATCTTGGAGTCACTGTGGATAGTTCTCTGAAAACATCCACTCAATGTGCAGCGGCAGTCAAAAAAGGGAACAGAATGCTGGGAATAATAAAATCATGACTGGTGTAGAGAAAGTAGATAAGGAAGTGTTGTTTACTACTTCTCATAACACAAGAACTAGGGGTCACCAAATTAAATTAATAGGCAGCTGGTTTAAAACAAATAAATGGAAGTATTTCTTCACACAAAGCATGGTCAACCTGCGGAACTCCTTGCCAGAGGATGTTGTGAAGGCCAAGACCGTAACAGGGTTCAAAAAAGAAGTAGATAAATTCATGAAGGATAGGTACATCAATGGCTATTAGCCAAGATGGGCAGGAATGGTGTCCCTAGCCTCTGTTTGCCAGAAGCTGGGGAATGAGCAATAGGGGACGGATCACTTGATGATTGCCTGTTCTGTTCATTCCCTCTGGGGCACCTGGCACTGGCCATTGTCAGAAGACAGGATACTGGGCTAGATGGACCTTTGGTCTGACCCAGTAGGGCCGTTCTTATGTTCTATTATTTGGTATCTGATATAGTTAAAGCTGCATGACACTTTCCTTTCTCACCCTGTTTCTGTACCCTATATCTTTCCCAAACATTCACCTTTCAGTCTGCAATTATTCAGGTTTGATCTCAGCCCAGAGGTGAATTGATTTTTGAAAGATCGAGCAAAAAGAGTTCAGCTGCTTTGTGGCAGAATGGGGAGGAAAAAAATACTTTTCCCATTATTAAGAAAAATCTTTGCTGCTTTCAAACAGCTCTTTGGCTGAAACAGCTGAGGGAAGAAGACTGATTTGTGGCATGAAAATACCTCTTGTTGATAGATGTGGGTGAATCATTGGTTTTGGTGTAACTAAGTCATGAGTCTGAAAAAAACAGTATGCTGCACAGGTAAAGAAGAATTTGAAAGTTTTCTCATTAAGTGCCAGATTCCGATCTTAGTTTCACCATCATGGACCTGAACTCGTTTCACTCAACAGAGTTATTCAGGATTTACACCAGTGTAACGGAGATTGGAATTTGGTGCTAAGCTTACAAAGTGTGCAGCTACATAAGACTGCATGTACACCACTGTAAAGTGTGCAGAGGCTGAGCCTAGGGTCCCACATGCTCAAACCCTGCGAGGTTGTGAGATGTAAGTGCACTTTGGAAAGTGCATAGGTGACAGCCCTGCTACAAACAGCTCAGGGGTTGTCTTCTGTGAAATTCTTAGGGGCAGGGCTCATCTCATGGGGTTTAGCCCAAAAACGTTCCAGGTTATGGAATTTACAAACTATTGCTTTTTTTCTCTTCTCCCCAAATGAATGGAACTTTGAAGCTCTTTCTATGGATTTTTTTAGTTCAACCTCCCCCACCCCCATCTCCTGTCTGCAGCGTCTACTCCTTCTACATGGAACTGAGGGAGTGGGAGGCACAGGGCTGGCTAAAATGGCTTCACATGACCTGAGGATTCCCTTCTCTCCAGTGGAATCCTTGGCTCCTACTTTAGGGCAGCTTTACAGATGCTTTCTGCAGTAAAGCACACAAAATCACCAGCTAAACAAAATGGACTTTTTTAAAAGTCCTAAACATATATTTTCACAAGATTCCATATACCTTTACCCCAAAAAAGAGCTGTTCCATATTCTTTGGTAAACCTCACTCTTTTTTAGAGTTATACAGGAAGAGCTTGTTTGCTTTTTAAACAATGAAAATTAAATGATTAATCTGTGGCATCTTGAAATGAATGTTAATGGGTAAAAATTCAGTTTTGTGTGTGGGACACTGACCAGAGGTGACAACGTACCCTTGACCGTATGGCTTACATCTGAGAAAAAAAAAATAAGGGCTATTACTACACTAACCTAAAATCAGACCACTTCTGCCTTCCTTCACTTAAAAGAAAAAAATAACTATGTGAGTTAAGACTATTCTGATCTCATCTCAGTGTAACTACAACAAAATCAGTGGAGTTACTCCAGGTTTATATCCACATTCATGATGTCAGTTTGCAGTTTGGCCTAGAGAACACAAGTCTGTGATCCTAACATGGGATCCTCTACCAGCTCCGTGAGCAGAGGGAAGCTTCTGCATGTGACTCTCCCCTCTCCTGTACAGATGTGTAGTGGTTACCTGTCTCCCCTAACTCCAGACTCCAAAGAATGGATCCACGGTTGGGGACATGGCAGGGACTGGGCAGTTTGGGGGAGTAGTGGGTAGGCCAGGGCTGGGTCCAGGAAAGATGAACATCAACCCCTGGCTCCATCTTTACAGAAATTCTCCAGAAAAGATAATGTGGCCTTCTTACACAAGGTAGGCTACTAGAGGGAACCACAGAACCTGTGGGGGCAAGTGCCTCTTCATGGGTACCTGAGCCCCCCGCATATGACCCTACGTATGGACCCTGCAGCCTATTATGCAGGGCAGGAAATACAATCCCCATCCTCCCAATGGAATGACAGGGGAGGAAATCCACAAAGGAATCATCACTGGGATTTTCTCCTCTTTAGCCCCATCCTGTGAATTTCTGCAGGAGCGGGGAGTTAAAGCTTCATAATATTGTTTAAAGATAATGAGCAAAATCTGGCCCTTGTCTAAGAAAAAAGAAAAGGAGTACTTGTGGCACCTTAGAGACTAACTATTTGAGCATAAGCTTTCGTGAGCTACAGCTCACTTCATCGGATGCATACTGTGGAAAGTACAGAAGACGTTTTTATACACACAAACCATGAAAAAATGGGTGATTATCACTACAAAAGGTTTTCTCTCCCTCCACCCCACTCTCCTGCTGGTAATAGCTTATGTAAAGTGATCACTCCCTTACAATGTGTATGATAATCAAGATGGGCCATTTCCAGCACAAATCCAGGTTTTCTCCTCCTCCTCCCCCCCCAACACACACACAAACCCACTCTCCTGTTGGTAATAGCTTATCTAAAGTGATGACTTTCCTTACAGTGTGTATGATAATCAAGGTGGGAGAAAACCTGGATTTGTGCTGGAAATGGCCCACCTTGATTATCATACACATTGTAAGGAGAGTGATCACTTTACATAAGCTATTACCAGCAGGAGAGTGGTGTGGGGGGAGAGAAAACCTTTTGTAGTGATAATCACCCATTTTTTCATGGTTTGTGTGTATAAAAACGTCTTCTGTACTTTCCACAGTATGCATCCGATGAAGTGAGCCGTAGCTCACGAAAGCTTATGCTCAAATAAATTGGTTAGTCTCTAAGGTGCCACAAGTACTCCTTTTCTTTTTGCGAAGACAGACTAACACGGCTGTTACTCTGAAACTTGTCTAAGAAGGCGCAACTCCATCTGTCCAATTATCTTTGGTTAGTGAACTTATTCAAATTCTCACTTACTTTATGCTCACGTTCAATTTGTTTATACTTGAGGGTAATGAAATTCAAGTCAGCCATCTCGGATTCAGTTTGCCGGGCCTCTATCAAACGGCTGATGTATCTGTTTACTCGAGTTCCTGGAGTGGTGTATACCACATTCGTAGAAAAAGAGGAACGATTCCTGAGTTTTTCAGAGGCTGTCCTTAATGCTCTTCTCTGCAGCAGAAAAGAAAACAGGAGAATGACTGCTATTCACTGCAATGACATTATTCATGACTGAAAATGTCTCATCATTTGTATTGCCAAGTCCCCAGTCAGCATCAGGAATCTGTTCAGCTAAGCAAATATAAATTTGTAGACAAATACAAGGAAAGACATAGTCCTTGCCCCTGTCAAGTTACAGTCTAATTACAAATTAGTTACTATTTCTCAGGTAAAATCCTGGCCCCACTAAAGTCAACGGCAAAACTCCCATTGACTTCAGTGGGGCCATGATTTCACTCCTCATCCTTAAAAATCCCTCTACATATTGTCCTCGACAGCATTCTACTCTGCCACTGTGGTGAAAGCCATCTCAGCCCAGATCAGAGTGACTTGATCAGCAGAGTAACAAGAAAATTGATCACAGATGAGAAAAACTCATTTTTGTGACTTAGCGGCAACGACTCAAATTAACCCTAGACTGTCCATGCCTCTGAACAGTTTTGCTGTTGAGGACGACGTGGATGGGATAGTATTTGCAAAGCAATTTTTCTTCACCTTCTCCACATCCACAGCATAAGACTTTACATAATTTTACACCACAAATTTAGCCACAAATATAGGGCTAATGAAGGGTTAATTCCCTTATAATTGTATTTCCTCTGTTACCATTTCTCTTGCATTACTCACTCCTCTGGCTGTTGTTCTGCAAGCCTGGGCCTGGCTCCCAGCTCCAGGCGTTGTGACCTGATGCATGGGGTGACAGCGCTGTTCAGATTCGGCCTGGCTGTGCCCCTGTCATGACCTATACAGAAGAGCTCAACCTGTTTCTACATAGTCAGAAACATACTTCTTTTGTGAAACATTTGCAGGTGTCAGGGAAGACCATTTAATGCATTAGGTTATGACTGATCAGCTTGGAAAAAAAAACAAAACAGATGTCTACCACCTAGGATATAATAAGAAGAATCTTTGCTGTCCCTTGTTACAAACAGACACAAGATCTCAGTGCAGTGCTGTCAATGCTACTTTTTAAAAGGCTATACACCTAGAAAATATCTTTGAGATTTTACAATTCCCTTTCAAAGTCACAGCTCAGGGGACAAAGGAGACCAGCTAAATGTATGCAGAATGAATAGACGTTTCCTTTCTCACTGTGCGTGAAACAGGATTGGCAGCTCTTCTTAAAATCAAAACAAAACACAACACACAAACAAACACAGGTCAGCAGCTAGTTAACAAACACACATAAGCAGACTTCCCTGTAAAGTAGATATGTGAAGCTAGTGATCAGTCAGGAAATACTACAAACCAGTGGCTTGGTTCAGGAGTGGTCCCTGATAAGTACTGGAAGAGATTCTGTAGCATAGATAAAATGTCTTCTCAGTTCTCTCACTGTTTTCTTGTTCTCATATTTACACAATAGTGCTGGTGCTAAATGCTAATGACACAGATACAATACCTGCTTGAGTTTTGCCTTTTGAGTTTAATATATTGAATAAGCATGTAATCTGAAGGGCTACTGTGTTAACATGTACTTGAAATTCCAGTTAACACACACAAATAGATTACTACTCATTTCAGATGCTTATATTTTGGTGCCTCATAGTTTTGCTTTCTAAACTAAATTTTCCAGGGCGTTTTTTCAATTAAGTGACCGAGGTTTTGTGTGGGTTTTATGTTGAAGAGAATTAAAATGGAGTGAGCTATTAGCCCATAAAATCAGCTACTTGTCCACATATAACTACTTTTTCATTTATTTTCTAATATGCATTTTACCTCTTTTTTCATGTTACAGACTTTCATGATGTCTCAGGTTTTAGCAAGGTAAAGTATTCTGTCAGAGAGTTTTTTTAACTTTATTGTGGCACAGATGCAGATAATACTGGGCCAGCTTCAAAGAGTTTTGAGCTATATTATGGCTTTCATGATTTAAGGAATAATGATCTCTGAAGGAAGCCAGGAGAGCAGGCTGGTTTGTACAGATTAAACTCTTACATCATGTTCTCTGAGATAAGAGTCCCATCTGAGTTGCAAACACTTGATACACAATTAGGTAAGTTAAAGATAACATTATAGCAGTGACTTTGAATGTTCTGACTTCGGGGAATTTAAGCCAGTTCCCTAACATACTAAAGTTTTGTATGCATGCTATGTATACATGCACACACACTCAAACGGCTAAATTGTCACATAACTTTTATAGAATAAACATAGATTTTTCAAAATACTCAAAGAGCATTTAAAAGATGTAATTCAGAGCTATGATGTCATCTGTGAGTTACATGCTATTTCTGTAAATGGTAAATAAAGTCTGCAATAAGAGATTTGAGATTTAAACCAAAAAGGGCTGCTTTTTTTACTTTTGTGTTTCTGTCAGTACTGGGAGAAACAAAAAAGTTTCACAAACAGGAAAGTTCTAATACTGCCAGAAAAGAAGATTTGAAGTTTCTTAAAATGTATCTCATTTATATCAGAGACAATCCAAGACATAGTTCAAATTCCAGGGAATGAACTTCCTGCTCTACTGCAGTTGACATTCAAGCAGCAAACTATGTAACATTGCCACCTACTGGCAAAATAAATGATCTGATAACTCTTCCAATCTTTTGGTTTCAACACCAAATCAGCTTTATGATTCATGGTTACCATTCACATTTTCATATAGAAATGTATAGGCATACAAATATACTTACTTTCTGTATGCTACTGCATGTGCAGTGCTGTCAGCTGAAAACTGTGGAGGACTCCAGGGATTTGCAAAACAGGTTTTGAAATTTCTGCAATTGCCTCAGGGACTCTTTTCTGAAGGACAAGTCCCAGACGGTATCCACTTGTGAGATGTGTGTGTGCACACAGGTATGGGTGACTCTGCACCTGAGATCTGCTACACTTAAGCTTTGTCTATACTGGGGAAATTCTGCAAAAGTTTTTCATCATTGCTAGCACCAGTTCAGCTCCAGCACTAGTGGGAACCCTGGGATCCCTAGCACAGATAGGATGCCTGGTGCCATTTGCCTTTTCAAAAGCCAAGTCAATTTACTATGCTCTAATTTACATGGTGCTTGAAATGCACAAATAAGGCACTTGTGGGTGCCTCACGATTAAAACTGCTATTTTACCTACTGAGCAAAAACCATATTAGCAACAATGGGGAATTTTTTTTTAGACAAGGGTTTATTATATTGACAGCACTTATGTAGTAACAACCTGTTTTGGTTTAGTTTGTGAGACAACATGGAGCAACGTACATTTTAAAAGCACACATTCAAGGACCTCAGAGAATCCTTATTAATTACCTTATCATCATCCTCACATGTCATGACATTGGAGAAAGGTATCTCAGCTTTGAACATCTTACGACAATGCATGAGCTGGACCAGCAGGTAGCAGACTGTTTTGAACTTCATTCTTTTGGCAGGCTTTATGTCTGAGAGAATCAGTCCTGGAAATATCTGTCAGGCAATTAAAAATATGAAAAAGATACACACAGATTTACATACCTACATGTACATATATCGTCCAATGATCAGAATAAGCATGAAAACATTGTAAATGAATATTGTGATCAAACAATGTATTTTATTACACATTTTTTACATTTAGTACCTATTTTCTTGGGGTAGAATACTTCTCTTTATATCAAATATATAGAATATGTTTAACATATTATCTTTAAGCACAACATAACTAATATTTCAAAATTGAGTTTCTATAGAAACTATGAGTACAAAACCCATTAGAGACTGATGTAGAAGAGAGGCATTAGTTGTATTTCTTCTTTTACTTTATACTCATTTGACTTAACCATTTTTTCCTGAAAATAAAAGCAGCACGTAAGAAGTATAAACAATGAGTGAACTTTTCTGTTTATTCCTTTTCTTTTTATAACATTTCTGTCATGTTCTTCTTACCTTCACTCTCTCATTTTATCAACTAGAGTTCTGGCTCCAGGATACAGGCATGCATCCATGGAACCATGATCAAACGGGGAGCTGGGGGACCCAACTATTATACCCCACATCTTGCTTCTTCAAAACTGGGGACATTGAGCCATGGAGAGGAATTCTGGGGTGGATGTTTATGGGTCCACTTCTTTCAGCACAGAGGCCCTGATTCAGAAAAACACTTGCTTAACTTTTAAGCATGTGTTTAACACCCACTGACTTGGATGGAATGTAAGATATGCTTATGTGCTGTTCTTAGATTAGAACCAGGACCAGAACCCCTTCATCTATTTTCAGGAGCCATGCAACCACCTCTGCTTGGATTATTTACGCTTCTGGCATATGTCATCTGTGAAGGAGGATCTGCGTGAATTTTGAAAGGCCACACTACCTGCCAGCACTGTTACACAAAGAAGTACTATCACTCTCATCAAATTACTATGCACCTATTTTAGGAGCAAAAGTGAAGAGACCCAGCGTTCAGTGCATAGTGCTCAGACAACTGAAACATATCCTCAACCCAAAACAAGGCTCAGATCTTTGTCCTTGGGAGCCAAGGAATATGGCCACTGAAATGAGTAAAAAGGATTTGGTTTATAATTGCCATTAAGAGTCGAGAAGTGTGATGGTTGTTTACTGCAGCATAAGGGGTCTACCGCATGCTCACAACTGGGAGTTGCCCATGCCTATCAGGATCCAGGCAAACAATCCCTTACTTCACCAAAATCATTTCTTCTATAGCTCCCCTCTACCTACACCAACCATGGGAAACGTTAGAGAAAATTTTTTGGACAAATTAAAGGGAATCCAAGAAAGTGATTCAGAGGAGTGTGCTGCAGATGAGCGAGGGTCCCAGCACACATGGAGGGCTGAACTTCTCTATCTTGATAGCACAGATCCAATGTACTATGGCAATGTGTCAGCCAGATACAGTATACTAAACGGAAATGTCATCTTGGTTGCAAAAAGTTCTATCCATAAGAGAAAATGTTTAGTCCAGGCTTCCATTATTGGTTTATATCACTTTTTTGGGGAGTGCTCAATTTAATGGTTGGCATTTAGGGTTTGATATCTAATCAACATGATGCAATGGTGTCATCTGCTTTATTACATCATGTCTTAATGAGCAGGGTAGAAAGGAGGAAGTAAATCAGAATTGTTTGCTCAGATACTAGGGTGAATGTGTACATACTTGGTTATCTGAATTTAGAGCAACTGGGACAAATTTTCCTCAGTTATACACTCTGTATTACACACAGAGTAAGTCAGTGTGGAATTTGGCTTTATATCCAGTTTAAAATATATGTATTTAGGTATTGAGAAAGGCATTGCATTTTATGGTGCAATACAGAGCTTTTCCTACGGAGTTGTATGGGTACCATTCAGCAGACTACATGCTGCACTGTGACAACCAAACACAGAAATCAATTAGTCTGTTTAAATATCTGCATAACATTTTAATTAATGTGTGACACAACCTGTTATTAAACAGGAAAAAATTCCTGAATGGGCACAATTACTATATTGTGCACCTGAAGGATGATTAAAGTAGATTAATACTATCTGCATTATACAGCACATCTGATAGTTCTTCTATTTAAAGGACACTAGTTTACTGTGCATGTTATTCTGCTATTTAAGGAGTTGATTATGTGTAGGTTAGAAATAGTGAAAAAAATCTCTCTTAAGTGGCTTCGGATATAATCTCTCAGTTGAGGAATTTCTGGCAAGTGACTCACTGCTGGAAAGCAATATTCTGCCCAGAGGACATTGTACAGTGACATTCACTTCACTAAATATCTTGAACACATTCCTTAGTTGTTCATACCAAATAAGATATTATTAGGCATAGATAGCCCTTAGGTCAGAATATGGCAAATGGGATCTATCTTCACCCCAATGTTCTGCAAGGCCCCAAGCTAAAACATAGCCTTTGGGTAGCTAGTTGTGATGTTACTAATTAATCCGATCATGTTTTCTTAAAACAGCCATAGCTCTTCTAGAAATATAAGTATTTTGCTGCATGCCTTTCTCTAAACCCAACCAAAACGTAGCAGCTTTTTTTGGCAATTAACGCCAGTAGTTTTGCTCTATTTTGCAAGTTGCAGTAATAGGGAGGGAACATATGGAAGGCACAAGGTGAAATAGATCTTAGTATCACCACTGGATCTCAACTCCAAAACAACTAGTCCCCTTTCCTCTGTCTGGCGGACAAGGTCAGACCTCTCACCTGGAAGTCACATTGAGCAGGTCAGTGATTTTGCCACACATCTTCATTTTGGGGGCGATATTAGGCTGATTCTGAATTGATCTTCTAGTTAAAGAACAAGAAGCTCCTTTGCAGCTCGGAGTACCCACAAAAGAGAAACGGTAATATAGCTGGGTGTGCTAATGGAAATTTTTGCTAGCAGAGCCAAGAGGGCATGTATGAGAGAGCGGCAAGAACAGGGGCATGGTCTCTCTCCCCCTGGAAGTGCTGGGAGGAGTGTGCTTTGGAGAGTACAGTCTAAACTTCCTTCAGTGTATCAAATCTCCTGTGAACACTATGCTTCTCTCACTGCCCAGAAGCATTATGACTTATAGAGGAATAATGTTGCCTGACAACTTTGCTCAGGAGGTGTACCTCCTCCCTTTCTCCAACTTGGCGCTCCCTCAGAAGAACCCTAATGTGTGCAGATAATTTTTAAAAAGGTAACTTTCGGAGTTTATAACAGCTTCTTTAAAATATCTTCAAAGCAGCAGATGGAGCAACCTGTTTATTTACCAGTCATTGGGCATTGTTGGGCTTCTGCTATAACACAGACAAATGGTCATTGCCAGGAGGGTAGTATTACCTCTTTATGCCACACTTAAATAAAAAAAAAAATAGGCCATCCTTGACAGGCATCCCACTGAACTTGCTCATGGCCTGCTTTATTTTATTTTGGCACTTCCTTTTTAAGTGCAGCTGAATTGATGCTTGTTCATTTGCAACATCATTTTAGGAAGGGTTCTTTGGACTAATATAGCCAGCAAATCAGGATAAGAATGGGGATGTTCTATCAGACCCCTACAAAGGGCAGCCAGACTATTTACAGCTTCGAGAGTGCATTGAAGTATGTGGAATACAACAATCATTGATTAAAATTCTGAGAAAACACCCCTCTGTTTGCATCTCTTATAATACTCTGGTAAAGGAGCCACTGCTGCTTATCTAAGCTCCTCAGAAACAGCATCAGACTGCAGTTCATTTTGCTGTGGTCAGCTAGGGGCATGAAAAGAAATCACAGAAAAGGAGGGTACCGTTGATATTCAAAGTGCATTCACAGAACGCTTCCATGCTGTATTGTGTGTCTGTCTCTTGCTTATGCCTTCAGTCAGTCAGGTCTAAGCTTCTTGGTATTAGCATCTCTCCTGTTATTACTTGCAATTTACTGAGCTTTCCTGTGGACTTTTGTTATCCTGAGATAAGTGAGCAAGTTTTATTTCATGTTCGTCTTTTCACAGCTATGGTAATTAGCAATTTTTTAGACAAATCTCTCATATGCCATATTACACTTATTTGTAATAATTCCTTTACTAATATACTAAAGTCCATTTTACTTAGTGGTGAAAGAATACAACTTGCATAAGAAAAAAATTCTCCATAGTTCAAACCAGTTTATCTACCTATCCAATACAAATACAGCACATATTTCTAATGGTTGCAAGTGTTAAAAGATTGCTGGGAGACCAATAAAATAGATACAGTCATTCTCTAAGCCCATCACATCTCTCGTCTCCAAGTGCCACATTTTTGGGGGAGTAAAATAAAATGGGAGCAACAGAACATAAAGCAAAGGTCCAAACCCCACTCCCACTCACAGTGATGGAATAATTTCAGATTGGGGGCTATCAGACTGACATTTGTGCATTTCTGTTCTTAGCACCATTCACAGTGACAGCAGGAGTGATACTGAAGCGGTACACCAACACATTTTGCAACAAAAGCATCATTCCCTCGGTGACCCTGGCACAGCAGGTCAGATCAGGACCATAGGCCAATTCACTTGTGTGTTAGTGTAAATCGAAGTGAGTAACGTTTTAAACTTCATGAAAGCTAGTGGAATGTTACTTGTATTGTTTTCACTTATCTGTTTCTGTTATAATGTAGTAACAAACATTTACATTGTATATACCCATGTAACTCAATAACCCATCAAAGAATTCTTGTGAAATGCTAATGAAGAAATTTATTGTATAAGGTGCTAATTCCAAAGCAAATGGCCATAGTGATGATGACTGGAGGTCATAAGACTAAGTGCATTCCTCACTCACTGTCATCAAAGGAAAAACCCATGTGGGTAGATGAAGGGTTCATGTAGTGTTCATGCACCTGGAAACAGTCAGGGCACACCCTGACTGTTGTGTAGGAGCAATGCACACACTGCTCTGTTCTATCCAAGGACATGGACCATGAAAACATGGACCATCTGGGAAGTCATAATAAGGACATCAGCCGTGGGAAGCTTCCTCGGCCGAAGCTCAAG